ACTGTCAAATTTGTATTCTCATATTGAAGTTGACTATTGACTATGATTTGTTAAAAGGGTTTGTCAGTGGCTAGTGAAAATGGGAAATTTATCTTGTTGTAGAAGTGATCATCTGAGATTCTTCATCTGAAAAATGTAAACATTGCTGAGATTAATAGAAATAAAGTGTTGAATATTGATATTATCTGTTTCCCACCTTGTTAAGTCATTGTTGATAATTATTGTGAGAAATCATTTACGTGATCAGTGTCTTCACATAGATGAGTATCATTTATCATTAATAATAATTTATAGCTCAACGCAAACTGAGCAAATTTGTAATTTCAGCAGAGTGTATAATACTGGTAGCCCTTCGTATGACTCAGTACCCATGAAGTAGCTCTCAGTTTCAAAAATGTTGGTGACCCCTGTTCTAGACCTTTCCAGGAGTTTTACCCCACAATCTAAGAGGGAACATTTGTCACAAACTGTCATAATTCAATAGCAGGACAAGTATTGACTTACATAAAGCAATTCTTATGCTTCCTTTCTTAACAAATCCAGGGTTCACGATTCAAAGTCTCAGGTAATGGTGACATCCTTCATGGATAACTGTACAATAAGGTTATCTGACCTGTTTTTATTATCTGTAAACATGTTTAAAAACAAATAAACACCATCATGTGCTGTGGTTCACTTCCTTGAAGTCTCTCAAATGACCTGTGATCTACCTCTAACCATTTAAACATCCCACCATAAAGATACACTGAGTTTGTGAGTTAATGTCAAAGCACTGATTGAAAGGGTAATATTGTATTGGGCTGTTACATCAAACCCAAGTGTCCTGTAGTGTTACTGATATAAACTGATACAATCTTGATTTCAGTATGTCACATTTAATTTTTTGTTAAGTCATTTAGATTTGTTAGTTTTGTGTTGCAATTTAGTGATCAATACTTGATATTGGTTGGTAGTCTTTCTATTTGATTGGAGAAAGGGAAGGAATCAGGTAATTTCATTCAGTTTGTTGCCACAGGAATATCAATATGGTACTACTTCTACTAGTATCACCAACTTCAGACTAGTAACACTAGTTCAATGCACCACATGAATGTCCTCATCGTTCAAACAATGTATCAATGGATGTGAAGACTGCACACAATTCTTTTTCTTCTCGTCGCAACTTCCTGCAACTGATCCGATAGTCAGAACCACCAAAAAAAGAAAAAGGGAACCACGGCTCATTGGATCACACCAAGACCAATTCTTTTGCTCGCACTTTTGGTGCATTGGTCTGGACCGTGCTCCAAGGCACTTTCCATCTTTGTTTAGAAGGTCTGGATCAAATAAGGTAGGTATGAAACTACCTCATTTCAATCCCTAGAGAGAATGAAACTTAATATGACAACTTAAATGAAAGCCCAAATTGTGTTGACTATTTAAACCCAAACATGTTAATCCACTGAAGAAGACGTCTCATCTTTCAATGGTATAAAAAGAGTGAGGGCCGCAATCTGATCACGTGAAGGATGTAAACCACAGACATGCAGTTCTGGGCATTTAGGCTGGAGTAGAGAACACTGAATTTAAACTTGTGCCCCCTGCTATAGCCTACATTATAAACTATATCCTCAAGTCAAAAGATCAGTTCATTAACTTTACTTACACAATCTTAAACGATCCATTTTACATCCCATGTTTACAACGACATGAATCATTTGAGTGTGTTTATTTACAAAGCATTAGACTGGCCAATCTGTGCTCATACTTAGAGGCATATACTCTGGAGCCAAACTGCTAACTCATGTTGCTGCAATACTTCAGCAGACCACTCCACCCCACAGCCACTTGGATTTAAAAGTGCAGCCATCAGGAGAGAGCATACCTGCTGTACTGCACACCATCATACAAAGAGTTAAGTTGAGGTTGAAGTTAACGTACATGATCTGTGAAAAGGGCTAAAATATGACTTTAAATTTACTGGACAATAAAGAATTTATAAGACTCTTTACACATCCAAGTTTTCCAGGATGATTGGAACCCTGAACACAATGTCCACAGAGGAAAAGGCACTGAGTGGGATAAGCCCTGACAAACACACACACACACCTTTGGTGTCCAGGGCTGTGGAGTATATCTGGAGCTCCACACAGATGAATCTTCCACATGGTATTGTTCGGCCCCTCTGACCTGCAGAACACACATTTAATTAACTTAGTACTTCTCCTCATCCCTTCTGCACAAACACACACCCTTACATCATCATATTTTCTATTACTGCTTATTTATCCTTACCCAGTTGTCAGACTTGGCTTTCCTCCAGATGTTGCTGATACTGTAAGCTTTCAGGCCTGAGGAAGTGAGTGAAAACAAATTAGAGCAATGCAGGGATGATAGGCAAATATACAACGACACATCGGCAATGCTGTCGCTCTAAAAGCTCTGGACCTAGCTGATTTAATGTGGTTCCATAAAGGGGTTTTCCGTTAGGGCAAGAAACTCGTACCACCAACCTAGAGTAGAAATTAAGAATTGTAGCCATAACGAGGCTTGATTTGAATTTAAAGGTGAAGTCCATAAAGTTGTAAAGTTGGGCTCTACTGAGTGCCACTATACTACTGCATTTTTAAAGCACTGGCCATGTTTCAAGGAAAAAACTGCACAAATGTGGACAGGAAGGAATGAGGGAACCTTTGGATGTAGTTAGTGAGCGAGCCTTGCAAAGCAACAATTTACAGAGAACATCTTCATAATGAATTTACCTTTTAAAAACATGACTGACCAGAAAATCAGAGAGGCCCTGTACATTTTATCTACTCAGCCCATGAATAATTTATGTGGCAGTTTTCAAAACAAAGTTACAAAGTGCAAAAAGAGGAGGTGCTCCAGGAATTACACGGTGCCAGACCCCCCCCAGCCTGTTTGATGGTCATGTCTGGCCCATGTACTTGAAACACAAGAACATCATGGAGACAACAGTTGGCTATTAAAAAAATAATGAAGCCTAGAACCAGGTATGGACAGGCCTCTGACACAGGAGTCGTTCCCTGGACCTCAGAATGCTCTGATTATGTACAAGTATGAATGAACTATATGACGATGCCTAAACGAACACACACAGGCACAGCCTGGACTCATCTCACATTCATCATCAATTACTCTTAAATATAAACTACATCCTGCCGAAAAGCAAGACAAGACTAATTCAAATGGAATGAATCCAAATGTGTTCACGTCGGTACTAAAAAATATATCTACTTACTGCTATTCTAGATATACGAGTAGGCTTCATCATTTTTTTAATTGCCAAGACTTAATGTGTGGCAGATATAAATGATATGATAAAAGCACATTTTAGGCTTTGATTCAAAAGGAAGCTACTGACTAAACCAAACACATTTCCTCCAAGTTAATGTGTTGCAGCTTTACACGTTTACTTAGAGTCCTACATCAGTTACTGGTTGGATTGAATCGTTACTCTAACTATTTTTTTACAGAACAAACACTTGTTGAGTGAAGCATGTTGCAGCTTGAAAGTTTGATGACCGACCTGTGTATCGGATCCATGAATTAGTAACGACAATCTCATGGTAGACAGCCACTGCTGCGACCAGCACGATCGCCCCGAACAAAAGGAACGTGTCTCTGCGTCGCAGCCTCGTCAGGGGGGAAACTACAGACATCGTCTTGGCTCTCGGGCAGAGGCTACACCTCGTCCCGGTAGAATCATCCGTTGCTGGCCCCGCAAGTATTTAATTTGGAATGCCTCTCCAGCTGTGGCCACTTCCACGCTCTGTGCGTAATTACGCACGGACGTCAACAATTGCCGTCGACTTTTACTAGGTCTGTGTTAACAACTGTGTCCATTGTCAATGTGTTTGTGTATCTCAGTGTTTTTCCATTAAAAGAGAGAGAGAGGGGAGCGACTGGATGAATAAACGCGCTTGTATTTTACGCAGAAATCCTTATATAAGACACAGTTTTGACAGCAAGTGTGAAAGGAGGAGGGAGGCAGAGAGGATTTGAGTGAGTGATTACACCTGTGGGCTGAGAAACTAGATTGACAAGTGCCCATGCACCTGTTTCCGCCCTTGTGTGGTGGGTGGCACTAAGGGGAGACCTGGCTGTGTCCGTAACTGTCTGTTATAAACTAAACTGTGCGAATAAAGGTTATTTTGTTGTAACTCTTTGCATCTCCACCTCCTTAGTGTACACAGTAGAAATAGTCTGTGTGCGGGTACATTCTCACACCTTGAGAAAAACTTTATTACAAGGTCTGAAACACAGAGACCGAACCCACCGTGCAGCCCGTCCGCCTGCCACCCACCCTCTTATCCACCACTCTCATGTGTGCGCGCACTACCCGGTCCCCCAAGATATCCCTGGTGCGCGTGGCTCCTCTCACTCTCCTATAATCCCATCCTGACAGGTCAATAAACGGTATAAACTGCCCACCAACACTTGCTGTGCCTACAAAATAAACCCATGCTCTTATCTCCATGGGTGAAAACATTAATGTGACTCCCACAGCTGTGACTGTGTGTTTAGAAAGTTTTGTTTATCATCCATAAAGACCATAGCTTTATTTTCCACCTGTGGTTGTAGGACATTATCACTCAAGATAGAGAGCACATCTGCAAGGAGTCCGAGGATCAGATCAGATCCTGAGTGTCCTCGGGAAAAGAAAACTCTGACCTCCTGACAAGTGCAGATGCACACTGGGTAAAAAATGTGCCTGTTCCTAAACCCTGTAGTTAATAAATTCTGCATGAACACTGACTGTACAAATAGCTGCTCACTCATGCAGGCATTATGAAATATGAACAGTGAAATGTTTTCTTGTGCAGATGCAAACCTATGCAACAACATCTCTAACATCAGTCTGCCTATTAGTTTCTTCACTACTTGCTTTTTCAATGAAACAGAGAACAATGAAAATAGTCATTACACCTCGACATAATGCAAACTATATAAATAGGCCAGTTCATTTTTCAATTCATAGAAAACAAAACCTCCTAAAGAATACTTATATAGTGACATCTAAATATAATATACTAAATGAAGTGACATCTAGTGGTGAAATTGCATGTTGCTACTGAATACCCCTCAACTCACCCTCTCCTTCCAAACATGAAAGAGAACCTGTGGTGAACTTCATTTGTCATAAAAACTCAAAAGGTGTTTAGTTTGTCCAGTTTGGACCACTGTGAAAAACATGGCGGCCTCCATAGAGAGGACCAGCTCCCAATGTAAATATCAAGTATTCTAATAGACAGAGCCCATTCTAGGGTAAAGAAAACAACAATCTGTACAATATAGATGAAACACATAGTGGAAACATCACTAGGATTATTTTATATCCAATAGATCCCTTTCACCTGAATCTTACACACTGAACCTTTAACAGATCATTACATTTGAATCTATTGGAAATCTATTAGAGGATGTTAATGGCAACATCACTTTGACATAAAATTAATTTAATATACAACTGTAAATTTAAATATAATCTGAAGTGAAACCTAATCAAATTTAATAACATATTTCACATCATGAAGTAAAAGTTCGATTGAATCATATACTCACGTCAACTCATCAACTAATATTTAACAGGTTCTATAAGTTTTGTCTTATCAGTGAAAAACAGTTTTTTTTGTTCACAGCATTTGGTTTGTAAGAAAAAGAGATACAGTAGAATTACAAGCAGAGTTAGGTGACTATAAATATTGAGGAACAGTCAAGAACATACACACACATGCTCCAGTTGTTTCTATTGTTTATTTTATCCTTCTGTCAGGGCACAACAAACAAGACCCTTCCAACAAATACAGATCAACTCAACATACAACCCACAGCCAACTGTTTTTAAATGAGACAACAGGGCTGAATCTGATGAGCCGTTTGTACATTTACTTTTTTTAACAGTAAATTAAGACTAAGACTTAACTGTTTATTACTCAGCTCGTCCAGGAGAAGCTAATTTTTAAGGTCCTTTCTACTGTAGCTGCTTTAAAATGCACATATTCCAGTTAAGTAATTGGTTGTATTCATCATTTTGGGACCAATACAGAAATCACAAGCACAATACTAAGGGGGGGAGGGAAAAAAAGTACAAAGTCAAAGCAAATGTGAACAGTCCTGTACCCTTGGGGATATACGGGGAGCTCAAACTCTCGACAGCTATTCCAGGAAAAGGTCTCATTACTCCACTTATCCACAGCGCTGCTACATTTCTACTTTGGGACACAGGCACCAACATTCAGACATCATATCTATGCACATAGCCATTGCAACTACAGGAATTGATCAGTAGGCCCATGAGGAGGATTGGATGGATAGGAAAATTGAAAGGAAGGGTAAAGGACGAAAGGTGGTGCAGGGTGAATGGTCTAGCCCTTGACGGGTGAGGGTTTGAATTTCAGCACATAACAGTTGGGATGCACTTTATTCCTACCCAAAGCGCTGTGAGGAAAAAACAACACATGAACAATTCTAGGCTGTGGACGGAAAGGGTTCGGGGTGAGGTTGTGGCACTCAATTTAATCACGACATCCACGTCCCTGTGCCGTCAGTAAGGGAAGCTGCCACTCCCCCACCCACCAGCCTCACTCAGCTAGCCAGAACACAAAGACAGCCAGCGAAGTGCCCAAAGTCAGTGCTCTTGTGTGACACGCTCGTTCTCATACAGACATTTCACTCACACCCACACACCCCTGAAACACAAACAGCTTACAAAAGTCTGAAGTACAGTTAAACCATAGCTCAGTGACCTCTTCATCTATGCCTTTTCTTCACTTGCCACTTGCTTGTCTCCGTTCTCCACCTCCATCTCATCACTGCCGTTCTCCTTGCTCTCGCTCTTCACCGTTACAGCTTCTTTCTGTTCAGGAGCACGAAGGAAAAAAAATAAAACAAGTCAGTTTCTATAAAGAGGCCTATCCTGCCCTCTTGTGGCCATTGTGGAAAGGACAAGCCATCACCTTTGAATCCCTCTCAGCAAACTTCTGGAACATGTTGGCATAGATGCGTTTGTCCTTCTCGTGCTGCTCCTTGATACGTTTCTGACAAAGAGCCAACTGGCAGGATATAATGAAGAAAATATTAGAGCCAAACTTGCAATTACTTTGATTGTTACTGTATTTGACCATATATGAACTAAAGGGTAATTCACATATTTAACCTGTCCTTTGTCAGAATGTCTGAAAATGTTTTCATGCTTTTTTCTACCGCCAAGTTGCCAAATGCTATCATTTATTGTCCTCCCTTGCTCAATTCCTTGTTTGTATTTCATTACCTCGGCCACAAAGGTTCTGTTTTAACCCCTGTCCATTTGGTGGTATGTTTTTTTGTTGTCAGCAGGATTAGGGAAAAACTACTGAACAGATATCCATGAACCTTGGTGGAAGGCAAGGACATGAGCCAAAAAAGAACTCTGTGTTTATCCGGAGAAAGATTTTTTTCTTTCTTTCTGACAGGGCAAGAACAAGAATCTTCTTTAGCATTTTCCCAAGTTCCCAGGGAATCATGTATGGATTAGGCATATTTGAGGACTAATATTTATGAGTGAATGCAATTAGGTGCAGACCAAAATAAAAATTTTGATCTAGCGAAATGAAATGTGATTTCATAAGTCAACTATTGGGCGTTGGTGGAGTTATGCACGGCACTGAGTGCCATTCTAGGTGTTGTTTTAATGGCTGAACCTTCTCTACTTCTTTTTTTCCATTTATATTTAAATCTTGTTTGTTTTGTTTAATTTTCACAATATCTGCTGTGTTTACTTCAGATGAGTAACTAGCGTATCACCATTCATCTTTTTTCGGTTTGTAATTAATTCAATCCTTGTGATCTAGGAAGTTGAGAACCCGGTTGAAAGTTGTTAGAATGAACTTTTAAGATACATGGCTGTATACCTGGCTCTTTCCAGCCTTGTTGGCAGGATACAGCTGTACAACTTGCTGGAAGTTATCTCTTGCCATGTCAAACTCCTTCATACCAAACAGTGCCTCTCCCCTTCGGAACAAAGCCTTCTCATTAGAAGGATCTAATTCCAGAGCCTAAAAACATGAACAGAGCATAATAGAAATGTTTTCATTATCAAACCAATTAAATGATCAGCATTGAAACAGCCTATCAAAAAAATATTTGATACCTTGTCACAACTTTCTAAGGCTAGGTTTGGCTCCTGTAGTTTAAGGAAGCACATGGCCAGGTTCAAATGTGCAGCCAGCCGCAACGCTTTCGCTTTCTTCTCGTCCTCCTCTGACAAACTGGATTCATGTTCCAGCCATGACACGATCCTTTTATACTGAATTGATGCCTGCTTGTATTTTCCATCCTAGGGAAAAATAAATGATAGTTTTAGAAACCAAACAAAGTGTAACTCTGCTTATATTGCTACGTGCTTTATAAATACAAATTCCCATGGGTACTGTACCTTGAAATACTGTGTTCCCTTCTCTTTGACGATGCTGCTCTGCTCCAGCTTCTCTACCGTGTTCATCTCCCAAGATTCTTTGGCCTGAAGACAACAAATATTCATCACATCTCAAAAAGAGGATAACCTCGCTGAACACAGTGGAAACGTAATTGGCCTAATGAAGTCAGATTGTGTTTGCAACAACACATCAACAACATGTGTTTACCTTCTCAAAAGCTGTCAGCTTAATCTTGTATTGCAGCGTTGCTCCATCAGGAATGTTATACTTTGTATTTCCTGCATTCCCGAAGCCATACCTAAAAACCAATGACACTTAAAATGAATTACTTCAAATAAGGGTGTAGAAATGCTGTATAACCTGCTGCTGTCGTTTCTGTGTTGCAGGTACAGTTCATGGAAGTAATATGTGAACAACAGATCAGGCTGAGATGTAGAGATATACTTTAAGAACTATTGTGAGACATCATTAAAATAAAACTGTAAGTTTCCTCCTTGGTACACGTGATCATACTTAGGCTTAATGTTGAAGAGTGCCTCCTCTCCTTGCTCCATAGCCATTAGGGCTTTCTCCACTCCAGGTGGAAGACCAAGACTCTCTCCATCTCCAATCTCAAATTTCAGTTCTCTCTCATCAAACACACGTCCCTCACAGCTGCCCTCCAAAGTTACTGAAAGGGACGGGGAAACACAGAAATTAGCTTGAGCTACAGATCACAAACTTGTTAACATGTAGTTGATTGTCAACTGTTGAGAAGAAGCAACTGAAGATAGGCGCTGTAACTGTTAGTCCATTTTTTTTGCTTTCTTTAGGATGCCAGTAAATGAATCATGGTAGGTTAATCCTACCATCTGACATAGGTGGTGTATCTCTCCTCATCACAAGTAAAATTAAAATGTTTTGTCCTCCCAATGAATCGCATATTTGGTGAACTGAACATGCGTAACTTTTGCTGAAACTTTGCACAAACTTCTGATGAGTGAGAAATGTAATCGTGAAATGTTATTCGCAGATGGACAATTGACACATTAGCGCCCCCCTAAGTGCAGCCCCTGCGGCACGTTTTACCAAAATGCATAAAAATCATTGGGCACATGTTTTAGGCCCAGATGTACAAAAAAGTCTGTGGGATCCATATTCCAACCCCAACAGGAAGGCAGCTATTTTGGATTAAGTGGTCATTTTTGTTGAATTTCAATGTTTCCAGTGAAGCAGGATGTTGTTGTAACGTCAGTGTACATTATCCGATCTGCACCAAACTTCACATGTCTGATAAGCCTCCTTGCCTGAATACAGCTACATGACAATATTGAGTCACAGTGCCCCCTACTGGCAATAAGAAATTACATGTTTTCTACTGTGATTTACTCCACCTTGCAGGTTGACTACATTCATCTTAAATTTGGTCAGAAGACCCTTAAGACATGGTAGAAAATTATGAAAGTTATGACTCTTTACTTGTTGTAATTTGAGTGTATAAGCTTAAATTGCCCAAACTTCAAATGTTGTATGTAGTTATTAAAAGTGTAGATTTCATCACGTTAATGTTACATTAGTAAAAATGTACTGAACATTGTCCAATCTGCACATAACTTAACATGTTGGTGTCCTGGCGTGACCATATTTACATGCCAAAATTCAACATAATCATAGCACCACCTACTAGCAACCAGATCCACACCTCAACAGGATGTGACATTTAACCCCATTTATTCTCTGTGCAAGCACATAACACAATAACAAGCTGTGTCAAGCACCTCCAGCAACTGCACCACAGCAGCAGCACACTCCGATGCACACGGACTGCGAGGGCCCAACCATCGCTGCTTGCAGCTTTAATAATGAATTTGCTACTTAGGCCCAGTCGACCATCATAATGTTTATTCAGAATAATTATGGTGTTGTATGGATCAAAAATCGATTTGAATACACAGACACCTCTAGGCAAACACTTAAATATTTAATTAGTTGTGGTTTGACATGTTGGTTGCAACTTAATTAAGCTACATTTGTGGCACAGTCACTATTACTATTGTTACATAACTACACAGGAATGTGACACACAGTTTTGTTTGCATGAAAAGCACCAAAGCCTAAAACTGCTCTGTTACTAATAAAACACTGACTTTACAAAAATGGAGATAAATCAAGCTTTTAAAAATTAAATACACTCATCAAAATAATATTTCATACTATTGATTTTTTTCTTTTTTATGTTTCAAGGGACCTTGAAAGAATAATTGCATCGCCTATTAGCATGTGGATTTCTTGAATGTTTGACAAGGCAAGAGCTGAGTCTTGACGTAGTACCTTCAACAGCAGCTCCTTCATTAGGTTTGGAATATCCCTGGCCTTTAGTGATAGTGCGACGGATGATTCCTCCATCTTCATCCTCAGTTATGTCCTCGCCTCGGAAATCAAACAGTTCCACCTGAAGTCATGTTAATTAATGTCTTTGCATACCGAATAAGGATCAATGTAAAGCATGCTGGATTTAAACCAAAAGTGCAGAAATACTGTTTAAGTGTGTTAACCTGACATCACTGAGACTTACCTCAAAAACAAGAGTGGCATTTGGGGGTATCTTGGGTGGGCTGCCTGCAGAGCCATAAGCGTACTCTGGCTTACAGATGAGCTGGCACAGCTCCCCCTCTTTCATAGTGGCTATACCGATGTCCCACGCCTTTATTACTTGACCTTAACACAGGGAAGGCCAATTACCAACACTTGCTGGCTGCAAAAAACATGGCAGGAGAATGTACAATGTCTCTGTACATTATGAAACAAACCTTTGCCTAACTCGAAGGAAAACTTGTCTCCTCGATCTCTGCTCGAGTCGAAATGAGTACCATCCAGAAGGGTACCGACATAATGCACAAACACTTTGTCACCTGTCATAGGCGACTCTGTGCCTGTACCTTCTCTTTTCACCAGCTGGAAAAAGAGACAGAAAGAGAATTTCATTAAAAGCGGTAGGTCATTTATCTCAAAGTATGAGCCAGCACCTGCAATTTGGTAACATTAGTGAACCCATTTGAGTGTGTGAGCGTGTGTTTGAGCAATATAGGGTTGAGTTCGTTGAGTTAGGGTCATGTTAGGCAGATTTATGTTATAATATGAGTTAGTGTGTTGAATGCATTATGTCTGACTCTCCTCACAGTGACAGAACGATCGACCTGTGTGTGTACGTGTTTGAATATCAGCCATTAACAATACTAGATTGTGCATTGGGTCAACAGCTCACAACAAATAGAAACGACTGCTGCGTTGTTGTTGTTGCTAACATGGAGCTACGTTAGCTATGAGACCGACGACAGGGAACGAGATAAACAGCGCTACGTTGTTGTCAACACTGAAGTCAGTGGCAGTGCTAGCCTAGCTAACAACAGCTAACGTTAGCCTAGCCGTTTGGGTCAATAACAAGCAGCGAGCTAACCCCCTCTTAGCTAGCTGGGTGAACATGAAGCAGCACAACACTGTCATTTACCTTTAACACGCCGCCGTCTTTCTTTGACGTGATGTCCTCTCCCTCCATGGGGATGGTGTGTTCACTTTGCTCCTCTGCAGTCATTGTCAAGAGGCAGCTCTTCCGACTCTGGTCCGACCTGCAGCACGATTCAAAGCAGCGGAGGCTAAAGCTAAGTACTTCTCCAAGCACCACACCGTGAGCAGCAGCGGCGGCGGCAGCAGCGGGCAACAACCTCACTCCCTGGCGCTGATCGAGGCTCCCCGCTAGCCTTAAATGAGCTACTTTCTCAACGCGGCTAAAAATAAGAGCACAAGAGGGGAGAGATACTCCGGATACTGTGCTCTTGTTGTGCACCAGTCACTGCTTGAATCCACGCAGGAGGGCAGCTTTCGGAGGAGGCGAGTCCACGTTGTCTGGCACGTCTGATTTTAAACAATCGCTTGAAGAAGGACGGAGAACTTTCCAGAGCGTCTGCGAGCAACCAGGGGGTATGAACCCTCGTAGGCGTCATTACGTATACACATCAGCATCTCCCGCAAAGGCGGTGCATGTTAAACATGAGAATAGTTTCTGCATGATTCCACATATTAACTGTGCTGGTTGATTGTATATACATAGTTTAGTGAAGCCAGTCTGTAATAATCTCATAATTCGGTTTTATTTGAGGAAAATGTGGCATATTTTTGCACAGCTCCGTCCACGCAAGCACTGCACTGCACTAAAACAAGCACTGCTTGTGGCATCTCGCTTCCCATTGGTCAGATCCTCAGCCTAGTGCTGGGTGTTGGCGCGGATATTGAAGACCCGCGAGTTGAAGAATAAACACAACACGAAGTACATACTCAGTTTTAGCACATTTGCGAGTAAGTATATGAAAACTGCGTCTGAATAGTATAATTCACATTAGTTGGAAAAGGCTTTAGCTAACGTGGGGACTCGGGCGGATGGAAAAGTAGCTACTTGGCGTATTTCAGAGAGTTTACAGCGTCAATGTTGTTAAAAGACAGTTACAAGTAGAAATGCTAGCTGCTGGACAACACGCAGCTAACATGGAGACAAGGTGACAAGCACCGCGGTTAAATGGAGGCAAACTGATCCAGTTATAGACATAACATTACTATCTGTAGTTTAACCAGTCTAAACACACTGTGTGCTGCTCAGTGGTTTAATCAGCCAGGGGGGCTCATTTCATAATCTTAGAATAAACATTTAATGTGACATCTGTGTCTTCATGTTCAAGGGAGGATCACAGGAATGGAGAGCAGCAGGGCCCAGTTTCCATTCCCCTACCAGCCCTATAACATCCAAGAGCAGTTCATGGAAGCCTTGTACAGCGCCCTGGACCAGGGGAAGGTTGGCATCTTTGAAAGCCCCACAGGAACGGTGTGTACAGTATGTGTGCATGTGTATTGTTCTGCTCACACCGTATATATTCTGTTTACACTTTATATATTGTACCTATTTTATGTATATTTTTATATTTCCTTGTGTATATATTGCATGTTAACTTATTAAATGCTATTACTGATGTCAGCAAATCTTATCTCTTATCTAATATTTTCTTTCATCAGTGCAGTGGTTGTTAGATTTCATTAATAACTTAAAGTTTGTGTGTGTCCTTTACGGCAGGGTAAGTCTCTGAGTCTGATCTGTGGAGCTCTGAGCTGGCTCACAGACCACGAGGAGAGGAGGAGACGGCAGACGGCTGCTCTACTGGAGGAAGGAGAAGCAGCTCTTTCCACGTCCGCAGTTCAATCCACCACGGCCAGCTCCTCGGCAGAGCCTGACTGGATCACTGACTTTGTTCAGAAAAAGGCAGAACGTGATCTGGTGACAAAGTTGAAGGTAGTTTACTGTTTTTGTATGTCACATTACTTTGCTGTCGATCTCTGGCTTTTTTCCTCATAGTTTTCGAATATTATCGGATGTGTTTGTGTCAGGAGGAAGAATTAAAAAGAAAGAAGAGGGAAGAACGATTGGAAATGATCAGAAACAACGTTCAGCTCAAGTATGCAATGAAAAGAAAGGTAAGTGATATTGCATGGTGGCATTTTCAAGAACCCAGGCAAAGTAACAATCACTGTAAATCAAATCTTTGAAATTACGTACATTTCTGTGTATGTATTTCTAGAGCGCTGAGGATGAGGAGGCGTTCAAGTTGCTTCAGCTCAGTAAAGAGGAACACACAGAGACACAAGGAGATGAAGAGGATGAGGAGCTTATCATTGCAGAATATGAGAGTGATGATGAGTCAAAGAACAAAAGCCGGTAAAGATGGCCATTATGTGTCCCAGCTGTATCAAATGTTATGTCACATTAAACAATTGTAAAGAAAAGACAATGACCGCAGGGTGTGTTTGCTCACATGTCCAGATTCCTTGGGCCTGAAGATGATGATGATGATGAACTGATCGAAGAACACGTCAACAAGGTGTGTGAGACTGAGAAATTTTACAATATTGCTGTAAGATGTTTTATACCAGAAGGATGAGCTCCCTCTGATGTAAAACACAGTATTAATTGTTCTGTATGTGTTCACAGATTTACTATTGCAGTCGCACACACTCCCAGCTGGCCCAATTTGTCCATGAGGTTCAAAAGAGCCCCTTCAGCAAGGACATCCGTCTGGTCACCCTGGGCTCAAGACAGGTATGCACGAGCATACCTTTTTTCATCTAATCACACTTAAGTGATTATATAGCGAAACCTTTAATTATATCATTTGAAATAAAAGGATCCATAAACAGTGTATTGCATCTCCATTTCTGTCTATCACACACAAAAGAACATACTTAGCACTGCACACAACGTATTACTTGTTTTCAATTTTTAAAACTTGATAATTGTCAATCTTATCTGACACTGTTTGCTCAGGGAACATAAACCTGTGTACTTTCCAGAATCTGTGCATCAATGAGGAGGTGCGTCGCCTTGGCAGCATCCAGCGCATCAATGACCGCTGCATGGAGATGCAGAAAAACAAACACGGTCAGAACCTCCTGCTTCATAACTGCTGATAATACAGAACATCTCCAGGTAACTTCATGTTTGAATTAAGAGATTTGTAATGCTTGTTCGTCATTTTGCAGAGAAACAGCCTCATGAGGAGGGTGTGAAACGTAAGCGAGGCCCCGCAAAGAGTGTGTGTCCCTATAACAAAGCTATGGCACTGCAGCAAATGAGGGATGAGGTTCTAGGAAAAGTCCACGACATCGAGCAGCTGCTGAAACTCGGCAGGGAAACGCATTCATGTCCTTACTACTCCACGCGCCTCGCTATTCCACCTGCACAGGTAATCCTGTTCTTTGTTCTATGTTTATCCTGAGCTTTTCTGAATCTTTTAAGGCTGAACTGATAAAAAGCATATTCATTTAAGTATAGATTTTCAGGCATTCAAGCATTTGAATGTCTTCTCTCTTTGACTTGCAGTCTGATCTATGTTTTTATGTCTGTGTAGTTGGTGGTGTTGCCCTATCAGATGGTTCTTCATGAAGCTACAAGAAGGGCAGCAGGGATACAGCTGAAGGGACAGGTAGAATTACATGTTTAAATTTTAATCCTTTCTGATTGTGCAATAGATTTGTTTAGCATTTGCCGCTATTGTCATGTTGTGTTTAAAATACCTCAGTGGTGTTGAAACCTTTGGCAAATGGTGGCACACAGCAATTATATTTTTGAATGTAAGAAGTAAACACATGACAGTTTGGGTGCCTGATCTTTTTCAGGTCATTTGGCAGCAGAACTGTATTTGAAATATGTTTGTTTTTTTACAGGTGGTGATCATTGACGAAGCTCACAATCTTAGTGACACACTCTCCTGCATACACAGTGCAGAGCTGACTGGAGCGCAGGTAAACACACACACACCATCAATAAAAGTGGATTTTTTATATTCCCTGTGATTTATTAAAATCTAAACCCTCTGCAGCTCAGCCGCGCTCACTCCCAGCTCAGCCAATACGCTGACCGCTATAAGTGAGTGTAAACACACACACACAGAATTACACAATATACTGATTAGAAAATTCTAAGCTTTATCTTACCTTCCTGACATGTTTATGTTTGTGTATCTGCAACATCAGGAGCAGGCTGAAGGCAAAGAACCTGATGTACATCAAACAGATTATGTTTGGGATTGAAGGGCTTGTCCAGGTGTTGGGAGGTGAGTGTTTTGTGGGCTGAACATATTTACTGTTACCAGGTGGAGGAGGAGACAGTAATGGAGAGTGAATTTCAATTCTGATCTCTGTGTAAATATTATCTGTGCAGGTAAGGTGGGACAGAATCCACAAAGCCAGATGACACAAACAGGTCAGTAAGTAACTGTACACAGACATAAACTCACCTCCATACAGACAATCATTAATTTTCAGAGTGTTTTTTTTCTTTTAGGAACAGAGATGTTTACCATCAACAACTTCCTCTTCAAGGCTCAGATTGACAACATCAACTTGTTTAAGGTAGTTCACCATGATGGTATTGAAAGTCAAAGTCATTGCCATACTCATCACTACAAACTCTGATTCTGTCATTCCCCCTGTAGCTACAGAAATACTTTGATAAGAGCATGATCAGCAGAAAAGTAAGTCCCTAATGTATATTAATGCCTCTTATAGATAGTCTACTGTTCTGAGAGTGAGCTACTGTCAAATGAAATGTACATGACATGTATCCTCCTCTGCAGCTGGGTGGTTTTGTGGAAAAGTACGCAGGTTCAGGTGTTAGCCTGCACACTCAGGCCTCCTCCAACAAAGAGAACCGGCGCACAGAGGGCTTAAACCGCTACCTCCAAACACTGCAGACCAACCAGAGCACTGCACCAGGTCAGAGGTCTTGACTTAGATCCACACATGAACCTGGCATTTAGCAAAACTGACTGTGAACCACCTGGCATGTCTCTGCCTGTAGTGATTTTTCTTTTTAATACTTTGTGCAGTTTCTTCAGCAGACCAGCAGGAGACAGTAGAGGCTGATAAAACGCTGTCTGCATCTCCCATGATGCAGGTGGAGGGTTTCTTTAAGGCTCTCACCAACAGCAACACCGATGGCCGAGTGGTGGTGCACAGACAAGGTACCATTATCTGTTTTTACTCACAAATCAATTAAAGGCCATTAAGAAAAGTATATTGCTGAGTTAAATTTTTTAAAACTTTTATCTCAGGTACTTTGTCAGAAAACAGTGTCAAGTTCCTGCTGTTGAATCCAGCGGTCCACTTTTCCCAGGTTCTGAAGGAGTGCAGGGCCGTCATCATTGCTGGGGGCACCATGCAGCCTGTGGGTCACTTTAAATCTACTACAATATGACGAAGCTTTTGCTTTTTACATTTTATGATTCTGAAAGTTGTCATATGCAGGTTTCAGACTTCAAACAGGAGCTTCTATTTTCTGCGGGAGTTGGAGAAGATCGCATCAGTGAGTTTTCCTGTGGTGAGTGTCCCATTTTATTAACCTGCAGAGTTTCTTTTGTTGTGTTTTTATGGTGCACTCTCTCTTAGTGATGCGCTTATCAATATTTCCTTTTGTGGGAATGTTGGATAAAAAACTCTAATTACTGGAATAGTACTCAGTTAAGCACATACCTCTAACAGTCCCCTTAAATCCAGTCAAGCTGCTCCAAATTTAACACTCATAGATGTAATATGATTTTTTAAAATCAACATCCATGAAGTATTCAATGGAAAATACAATACCAAAAAGGCCACTACAGAAACTGAAAAAAAATCCTGAATGTGCCCCCTGATCTGGATCCACTTCTAAATTTAATGGGTCCTTCCTTGGCCCCTCCTTGCACGAGTCTTGTGGTAATCCGTCCAGTATTTTTTGCGTAATCTATTTTACAAACACACCAACCAACAAGAACCTAAAAAAGTGCTGGACAATAATTGTCTTTATATATTCTTTTTAGGCTGGATTGTTTTATTTGATAATGTAAAATAACAGTAGGTTAAATTATTATGTTTAAGTCCAAAAGCTTATTTATTTATTTTGTCTTTAGGTCATGTAATTCCTCCGGAGAACATTCTTCCCCTCGTCTTGTGTAGCGGTCCTTCTGGTCAGGAGCTGGATTTTACTTTCCAAAATAGAGACTCTCCAAAGATGGTAACCAACACATACTATTCGTCTATTCTTGCTATAATTTGATTGATTGCTTTACTGCAAAATGTGCATGCATTTTGGTAGATGGATGAGACAGGGCGCATTCTCTCCAACATTTGTAACGTGGTACCGGGAGGAGTCGTGTGTTTCTTTCCTTCTTATGAGTACTCGAGGCGGATGGTTTGTCACTGGGAGGCCAGTGGTGCTCTGGCTCGTCTCGCCAACAAAAAGAAGGTTAGCTGATCTCTTATTATTTACCCTTTTTACCCAAAATTGCCTTATTTATCATGTCAGCTCAAGGGTAGAGTTCCCTCATCATCTGTCTCAAAACTGACAAACGTCTCCTCAGATCTTCCAGGAGCCAAAGAAAGCCAATCAGGTAGAGCAGGTGCTGAGCGACTTCTCCCGCTGTATCCAGGTAAAACTAGCACTGCTTAAAATGTCAGACCTCATAACTCCACATTAACAATAAGGGAGAGATTGTCTTTACCACTGACAGACATTAGTTGTCTCTTCTCATTTTGTCAGAGGTGCGCTCTGGGTGGCGGTGGACTCACAGGAGCGTTACTGTTCTCTGTGGTTGGAGGAAAGATGAGTGAGGGCATCAATTTCTCTGATGATCTGGGCCGGTGAGTGTAATTCATGAGCCAAATAGCTGCTGCTCACTGTAGAATGTAGAGCCCTACTGATATATCAGTTTGCCGATATGGGCCTGTCATAGACATCATAGTATCAGTATCATATCTGTAGCTTCATTTCTGTACATATCAGTATCTGCTTTTGTTTGCCAACATGCACCGATATTAAAACTTGTGTGTTACAGAATAAACAATGCAGAAAAGATGTTCAATCATGTTTGTATTTAAAATACCTCAAGTTAACAAACTCAAAATACTATATATTTGGTTGCATTAGTATTTTCTCTTTATTTGTAGTTATTTGTAATGAAGTTTCTGGTTAAACTGTAAAATAATAAGCCTCAACTACATATCTTTATCATATTTCCTATTTATCATTTTTAATCTGTATCAGCTATTGATTTCTAAGTTTATTAAATGTGTATTTGTGTTCACATGATAAAAGGTGTGTAGTGATGGTGGGAATGCCGTATCCCAACATCAAGTCCCCAGAGCTGCAGGAGAAGATGAGTTACCTTGACAAACACATGGTGAGACTCTACTGGTTTCTGCTGTCAGGCTTCACTGTGTCCACCAACAAGCACAAGATCATAAGACTACTGGGATGAAGTTCACTGTCTGTGTCATAACCATTTTCTTTTATGGTTTTTCTGTATTAGCCTCACAGTGGAGGGAGGAGCCCTGGCCAAGCACTGATAGAAAACCTCTGCATGAAGGCTGTGAATCAGTCTATAGGTAGTGATGCAAATTTCACAACAATAGATCAGTATTGAAATTTAATGAAAAAATACATGTTTATTCCTTACTTTGTAAGATAATAGTTTTTATTCATGAGTAAATGACTCCCTCTGCCCAAAGGAAGAGCTATCCGTCATCGTGGCGACTACTCCTCCATTGTGCTGTGTGACAGACGTTACTCCAGAGCCGCTACGCTCTCCAAACTTCCCACGTGGATCAAAGATCGCACCAGCACATGCACGAGTTTTGGCCTTGCTTTTGCTGCCTTGCGAAAGGTAAGAATCAGACTCAAACCACTGTACAGAGACACTATAGCACCTGGTTGTTCTGTTCTTATTTACACTAAATGTTATGTGTTTTAGTTCTTTCAGGAAAAAAAGCAGAAGCAGGTGTAATTTTGCTCCTGAAGGGCTCAGCTGTCATCTTCCTGTTTTCTTAACGGTACAACACTGGGACAAGAGCTGGAAGAGGAGGAACCTTCAGAAAAATCCAGTGCAACATAAGAAAATGTGCTCTGACTAAAATAAAATAAAAATATATATATATATAATTAAAGGGTCTCGGTACTATGTTCCTTGTTACAAGATTGTTGCAGCTCTTCAATATTTACATAAATGTACCTATCAGACCTCTGTGCGTTGGCAGCTGGAATTCAACAATCAACCAGCGAAGAGAGTTTTTCTATTTTCATTACCTCACTTTGTAGATTGTTCTGTTTTGCACTGGTAACAATCCTTTATGAAAAATGTAAAGTGTAATGATTCCCAAGTATTTGAATGCACACTGCAGACAAAGACTAAAAGGGACATTTATCAGTTTGACTTGTGGTTTATCAGTCTGGAACATGTTGGAAACGAGAACGCCTCCTCAACAGTTTTTAATTTCGGTTCTGTTAAAATTAATCACTGAAGCAGATTCCAGGCACAGCAGTGGCGTAGGCATCCATGTTAATGATTTACCCTGGAAGAAGTTTTAAATATTTAAAGCAGTCAATGTTAAGTGTTATATAATGTAAAAAAAAAAAAGACTTATTTAATGGAAAGATGTTGGTGAAATGTTTCTGTTAAATTTCATGAAAATATGTTTTACAGTGACTATGATATCAATAAAGTGTTTTATTTAGCTACTTCAACACACTCACCACTGGCACGATGGAAATTACTGCCCATTTTACATCAGTGTTTTAAGTGTTTATTGTCCATCGTATTACGCCTCCCAGTCGTCATCGTCTGTTGCAGATTGCGGGGCAGGAAGTGGTGGGATGACGTCTGACATCCGAGCAAATGCGCCACCGGTGCCAGGGGGAGCGTCGCTGGATTCTCCACCTGCAGGACCTTTACCAGATATACCTGCAGGAAGGACAGGACATTTTTACTGTATGCAAAGCAATCACTATAATAACTATTCTGATTCGACACAAGAGGGATCCTTACCTTTCCTTCTCATGGCAAGTTTATTGAAGAGATCAGACATAAAGTCTCCACCACTCGATGCTGCTCCCACCGCTGCGAGACAAAGACAGGCAGTAACTGAGCAATCATGCAATCAATATTAGTAACTGAAGCAGTGAAACAGTTTCTCTCATTTCCCAGTGCTGTGCAGTAATTACAAAAAGACTTTTTTTCCAGCCTACTCAGTAAAGGCTGTTCTCTTTAACAGCAAAAGGAAATGAAGGATGGAAATACCGTTGAATAATAGGTCAGACAAATGATCAAGTCAGCCTTTTTAAAGAGGTTGGTCTCATGGGTGAATGCTAACCAGAGAATGGTCATGCATTGATTGCATGACTTTCACATCATTGTTGAAGCTGCATCGTGTCGCATTTAATAAAACATGAGCAGAGAAACCACATCGACGCTCAAACAATCTGACACCTTGCTCTTGCTCCTTCTGTTTCTTCTTTTCCATCTTGCGCACTTTGACGTTGCGTAACTTGGCCTTGCCAATGCCCCCGGCGTTGCGGATGGACTCCAGCAGACTGGCGCGGCCGTCTGACGCTTTAACCACCTCGCTGGGAGCCCCAGACACGGGACCTGCAGTGTCAGAGAAGACGGTCAGGGAAGCATCAGTGTCAGTTGGCTCACTCAATTGTAGGAGTATTAATAGGGATTCTCAGAATGTGTCAAGTTCAATCATATTCCTTCAAGCGTGTAGACTGTGCTGGATTTCTGTATTGGGTGCATGTGACATACCTGAGCTTGGTACTTTTGAGACTACTGTGGGGCTGTCCACAGGAGGTGGGGGAGGCGGAGGGGGAGGAGGGGGAGCTCCTGCAGGACTAGCAGAAGGGAGGGCAGGCTCAGTGAGAGGAGGTGGAGGGGGAGGGGGTGGTGGTGGTGGTGGAGGTAAAACATTAGGCTGGAGCTGAGATCCTGAAACAAAGAGATGACAAATTCACATCAGTCTGCAAACACTGTTAACATGAAATACAACGTCATTTGTGCAATGAGACGTTTAAGACATGAACTCCAAAAAAATGGAAAAGAGATTCTCCGGGTCAGACGGGTTCACAATAGGAAATATACCGGAATATTCAGTACGGAGTTGTGCTAAATATTCATGTAGCTCTAGCAGGAGGAGGGACCTTTAAATTCCACTGCAGAGAGCCCTGTGTTTTTATTTACAGCACATCAACGTCAGTGTCGCCCAAAAGCTCTCAAATCTCCTTATCTTTTCAAGTTGACATTTTCTACATGTATGGCACCTCTTTTTTATCCTGAAATATTTTTTATTAACATCTACTATCTTCTAAGTCCTCTACATGAACAATTGTGATTTCCTGCTGTATTCTCAAATGGTCTTACGCAGAAATGTTTTGGACATCTTACTAGAGGGCTGGCAGGAAAAGTTCAAGAAAACATCTGGAGCAACTGACTCATTTTCGCTCTCACAAACAATCCCTCTGAGAAAATGTCTAAAAGCAGCTACAGTAAAAACTTTGTACTGATCTTTTTAGATCAAACATTATAAAGAGACAAGGGCGAGGTAGGAAGTGTAAGTCTCAACAGGTGAGTCTTAAGCTTCCTTAAAAGGTGTGTATGTGTACCTGCTGCATTGCTCTCTTCAATGAAGGAGGGCAGCTCAGGGATGTTGTGTGTGGGTCCTGACGGGGCGAAGCCGGGCCCTAGGTCTGCGCTGTACGACAGGTCGTCTGCTATACCTGGCAGGTCAGGTAAGTACGATGGCACATCTATCTCAGGCACCTCGCCCAGATCTGGCACATAAAAATAACTCTCTGCAGTCTGTTAGAGAGAAAAGGTAATCAGGATTAATTGTTGATATAAAAAGTCAAATAGAAAATGTACTCTGGTTGGAAAATGCTGTTGGAGGTACCTGTCTTTCGAGTTGCTCCCTCTTAGTGATGGATAACGGAGCATCAAACGGTTTCTCTTCTTTCTCCGTCTCTAGTGTTGTGTGTGTTTTAGTCACAGCTCCCGCCAGAGGATCGAGGAACACATACTTCTTATATCTTCAAAACACACAAATCCAAACATATGAGTAAACGTTTTCAATCTATCCTGTGTTTACAGTTGGTTTGTTTTTCTGACTCACAGGTTCTCTGTGGTATTAAAGAGCAGCAGGGAGCTGACAGACGAGATGTTACGAGGAAGACTTCCCAGTCCCTCCTCTGTCTCGTCCTCGGACTTCTTCTTATTGCCGACGCACACAGGGAAATAAATTAACTTCTCCTGAAAGGAAAGTAGAGAGTGAGTGGGAGATCTGTAAAATGTCAGCTACAGCTTGAATAACTCATATGGCAAATGTCACCAAAGTGCTCCTGCACACAGACGCATGTGCCCACGAACACTGAAATACTGAATGATACAGTCAGGGACCTTGCTTCTGTGGGAATATTGAATAATGCATTTCCACAGGAGATACAAATTGTCAGCAATGTTTTCATTTCACTCTCCACTTCTGACTAATACACACAGAAAAAAGAAAACACTTTACAACGATCTAAGTGCACACAGCAGAAAATGTTGTTTTTTGTCAAGTTTCCTAATATGGTGAAGGAAGAACTGTGGTGCTATGAATAATGCAGGAGCTGGTTCTGATAGTGTGCGTGCGCGCACACATACACAAAATACAATTAGTAAAACACACAATTACTATATAATTTCATGATATATATTCATATTCATAAACATTCATAATCTGTCACATGTGCAGCATGCCACAAATTCATCCGGGAATTTGACTGATGTGTAGCCAAACCTACAGCTTAAGCTCTGACTGTGACTGAGAAGTGAAAGTACATGTATATACTGGATTTCTGTTGCACTTTCTCACACGTCCTCTTTACTTCTCGATCAAGCATCAAATTTGTAGCGAAATCTGAGAAGAAAATGTGTGATCAGCCATGTCTTTACTACAATAATAAATACAAAGACAATACAAAAGGTCAATGCAACATTTGATTAAATGGAAGTCAGTCGGTTATTTAACTCTGAGCTGTGATTAATTGAGACAGCTGGCTGATTGATAAATGGTTTTCTTAAACAGATATTCTGCTCATCATGACAAAACAGCTGCTTATCTACAACAGAGTGAAAAACAAGCAGGAAATACACAGCACAGAACAGACAGTAACACACATATGTGAACAATAGTTCATATGTTTTACCACTAGAATGTGTATTGATATTAGAGGTGTGTTGTATCCAGACCAGCTCAAGTAACAATAATAAAGTTTGATTTTTGTTCTATTTTGAAAAGGGCAGGTTTTGTTCTAATTTATAGAGCAATGTTTTTTATATATATATTAACAATTATCAGATCGTAAGAGCCTGGCCTGATGATAATGAAAATTATTTGACACAAATCCGGCTCTGGTCTTAATGCTCATGAATTCAATCTGTTAGTATAAAAGTAAAAATTTGTGAAGAAGATAAAAAAACAGAGAGCCATCCTTCTGTTTTCCACCACTCATCCAGGTCTGGGTCATTTTAGGCTGAGCAAAGTAGCTCAGATGTCCTTTTCTGCCTCATCATCCCACTCTCCCCGAAGGATCCTGAGGTGATGCAAGGTCAGACTGGATACGTATTACCTTGACAATGAGGCATCCAGGAAACATCAGCTGCTTCCATCACCTCGTCTGGCTCCTTTCCAACATGGAGGGGAAAGTGCACTTCTAGCTCTTTTTCCTTCCCTTACCCTGCCCCCTAAGGTTGAGCTCAGGACACCCTGGCTGGAGAGGATTTTATTCACTCAACGCAGAATCCCAGATTCGGGTTTCGACATTGATGGAAATCATAAGCAGGGCTGCTGGAAAGAAGACCCTGGATTCTGGGGGAGCAGGGTGAACACTGAACCAGCTCTCTACTCTAATATTGATTCTCGTGAGGTCATGGGTGCCTCTACAGTCTACATAACAAGTCAAAACTAAAGCTACAAGCTTGTCCTTGTATGACCACAGCGGAAGAACATAAAATTCCACATAAATGGAAATTAATCATCCTTCTAAATAACCACATTATGAACCTGCAGTGCCAACTGTATAACAATGATTTTGTTCTGTTGTATGTTTATTATAGCATTGGACATTAGAACATTTTGTGAAACCATGTTGAACTGAGAGCATTGCATGTCAAGAATATAAACCCTTGTTTAATCGGCACGTTTAATATATTCATCTCACCTGCAAGGCTTTCTCGTCAAATGGTCGAAGTTTGTTCTGTATCCTTTGTCGGGGGCGGCTCTGTGAGGACGGGTCTGCAGCCCCAGTAAAGATAGACGAGTAGTCCTGAAGTCGATCCGGGGCCGGGTACTTGGCACTAGAGAAAACCTATAAACACATGCACAGACAAAAGATGATAAGTGACACACACAGATCAAATTATTGTCTATTACCAATATTGTGTTTGTCTGTAGCTGCCTTCTGATGTGAAGGTGCGTTACCTTGGTGGCTTTCTTACTGCCTTTGATCTTGTCAACTCGGGCCTGAGCGAGTCTGATCCGGTCAGTGACGCTCTGCAACTGCCGCCGATTTTTCTCCACACTCTCAGACACCCTGGAAGAAACACACACACACACACACACACACACACACACACACACACACACACACCAAAATGAATATAGATGTGCACATATCCCTGCACAGAGGGAAATTTGTCTGAAACCATACTGCAGAATATGGAGTGTGGGACTTGAGACAACCTACAACACTTCTCCTTCATTAAGAGCCCTCTGCAGAGTGCTGAATCCCTTTAATTACTAACACATTGCGCTTCAAAAAGGTTGTATTGATTTAAATTTCTATAGTTTCCAAGGTGCTGGACAACAATTTCCCCACCTGCAACCTAGGAAATGCTCCAAATCTCCAAGACCATCATGACACCAACAGTTTTATATAAAATGGATTGATGCAAAAACATTTCTTACAATAATTGTGCATCGACTTTTAATTTATAATTCGATTTAGTCCTTATTCATTCAGTGAGATATTAAAATATTTATTTTATTGCAAAACCCCGAGGTCCACAGAGCATAAAGAGATAATTGTACAATCTAAAAAGACAAAAAACGCAAGCACATCTATGTGCCCAGTAAATGTATATGTATGTGTGATAAGCATGTGTGACTCTGGGGTCTACCTCCTGAAAATATCTGTAGAGATGGTCTCCAGGTAGAGTAATGCATCTGCTATCTGATGGACAGCCTCCTCTCTCCTCAGGTCAGGTTGGATGAGAGGCACCGAGTACACCTGGCCCTCCAGGCTGTGCTTCTGGTTCATCCTGACAAACATCAACACCGAGGGAAAATCAAGTCAACATCTAAGACAAGGCAGCGTCACCAAATCAAAATCTGATCTTCAGTACAGAAGCGTATATTCGCCCCTGGGTTATGACAATAGAATTTCATCAAAATCAATAAATCAAACTGTGATAGGCCGATAATTAGAGATTAGATTATGTTGAATGTTGTTTGATCCAAAACCATGACAGTCGTTACACACATGGATAGATTACGGCACAACTGGCCCTTGGGTACGGAAAAGTAAAACAGCCAGGGTTTTAACAGTACAGCACCCTCATACATCTCTGATTGTTTATCGGAGTATTCCTGACCGGTCCCTAAGGTCTTCTAATTACCCCAAAAAATTAACTACAAAAGGTTTGTGGAAGCAGCTCTCTGTTGCTATGCACCAGAAGTTATGAACCAACTCCCACCACACATCAGACAAGCTAATTCTGTTGAGACCTATTTCTATGATCTTGTTTTTAATTAATTGTATCTTTTTTTACATCACTTCTTTTTATACCTTTTGCTAGTTTTATGCTTTTATCCTAACTTTTTGTTTCCTAATAGTCGTTTGGTGCAGATGTTTGTAGTCTGCACATACTGATGTTTAGTGTGTTTCTGCAGAAGTTCTGAGTCTCCGTTATGTCTCTTGGCAGTTGTCTTGCAGGTGGGGGCCCCTGGACAAATGTCAAAGGGCCCATTCAGGAGTCCATCATGGTTAAAGAGAAAACCTGCTGCTTACACACGCTCCTCGGCCTCATCTGACTCTCACATGACAAAGCAGGGAAATACAAATTCACTGTGCTGCTGTGTGAACTGACACGAGTTCATGTCTGTTGCTGTGTTTGATAACTTGAACAGCTCACCGCTCTGATTTGTTTGAAGGGCAAAGACATGATAGATGAACAAGCTATACAAAGTTACATTTGATCAGTCCGCTCATAATGAAGCTAGACTCGCTTTAATCCGACATCTACTGATGAAATGACCGGTTACAGCTTCTCATGTATAGATAAGTCTTACCTGACCATGAGGACAGTCTGCTTGTTCACCGTTTAAATTTAATAGAAGAAGAATAAGAAGAAGTGTCGGTGATAAAGTCCCAGCTACTTATTTAGCAAAACAACGGTTCTGTCACTTCCGCATCCCCGTGACACGTGACTATACCGGAAGTACAATGTTGCATTTCAAGTGTTCCGGACATTTCTGCTTTCTGACTTGAACGCACCACAACGACGTGAATAAACGCCAGAAAAGCTCCAGATGATGAACTACGACCTGATTTCTTAATCAGGCAGGTTGAGAAGTTGAAAAGTACGGTGGCCACGAAGTGCAAATCACAGTAGCAAAGTCCAAAATACGACAGAAATCACAATACACAACAACAAATCATAATAACAAATCATAATACAAAACAACAAATCATATACAAACAACAAATCATATACAAACAACAAATCATATACAAAGAACAAATCATATACAAACAACAAATCATAATCAATACATAATGATGAAAAAAACACAACAGCAAATAAAAAATAGGATGACCAATCACTACAGAAACACAGTGGCAAATCACAAAACACCACAGTGGATCATAATACACAACAGTAAATCACAAAAAACAATGATAACATCAAAAGAGTGTGTCACTAAAACACAAACAATAGTAGAGCCCAGACAAAACATTCAGTTGCCACTTTGTCTTTGAGTCGTAGATAACTCCACCTAGCAGGGAATAGTTTACTATATTTATGAAAATATTTACTAAATATTAATATTTACTTTATAAACTATACCGTTTTATATGTACTAAATATTACATAGTGAACGACATGGAGTTTTAACATATACCTCTCTGCAGCCTATAGGGTGCGCGCTTAATCCGGAGTTTTCTTGTGCCTGTGCGTAATGACGTGTCTGTCCTTCAGCTCCAGCAGAATCTCTCATCCTCCTCCTCCTCCTCCCCTCCTCCCTTCTGTCACATCTGTATCTGGCTCCTCTCATCAGCACCAATCGGCGCAGTGGGGGAGAGAGAGCGCGGGAGGGAGAGAGAGGGAGAGCCGGAGAAGCGGAGGAGAGCTCGGTCGGTGCAGCCTCATCCACAGCGGAGCAGAACCAAGGAATCCGCACTCACTGATTTTTATTTCGCATCCCCGACGTCCTCCACCCGCAACTCCAGCTTCTCCCTTTTTCTTCTTCTTCTTCTCCTTCTCTTCCCTCCTCTTGCATTTGGGTATGATGAGCTCCAGCCTGCTAGAAAACCCGGTGCAGGCGATTCTGTACCTGCGGGAGCTCACCACTATCGTGCAGAACCAGCAGAGCCTCATCCAGACACAGCGCGCCCGGATAGAGGAGCTGGACCGGCGGGTGGACGAGCTCATCGGCGAGAACAGGCACCTGATGGACGTCAGGGTCCAGCAGCAGCATCCTTACCACCACCACCTCCACCACCATCATCTCCCCGACCCCAGCTGCCTCCATCACCACCATCACCCCCCACATGAGGACCCCCAGCCTGCAGTTGCGGGGTCTCTGCCCGAACATGCACCAGCAGCTCAGGTCGAGGTCGAGGCCACTCCGGAGGTCCAGCCTGCGCCTCCGCAACCTATGGACCCGGGGGACATGCAGCTGGTACCAGCCGATCCGTCCACGGTCTCCCCGGTCGAGAGCGACCCAGAAAACGGGAGAAGTTTCACTAGCTGCCGCTCTTTGGTTCAGATGACCCCCACAACCCTCTGTCGGTCTCTGGCCCTGTCCAAGAAATCCGAGTGAGTTGTGGTTTATGGTCATTTGTTATGGTGTGTGTGTGTGTGTGTGTGTGTGTGTGTGTGTGTGTGTGTGTGTGTGTGTGTGTGTGTGTGGCTTAGGTAGTACTTATGTTGTGGGCATCTAAATGTGTTTACATACTCACATTATTGGGACTTGTCTTCCTCTTGGGGACAATAAGTCCCCACAATGTACATGATCAAAATTTAGGTTAGAGGTTAGAGTAAAGGTTATGGTTATAGGCAAGTAGTCTGATTAAGGCCAAAGTATGTCTCCAGGGTAAAATGTAAGTCGATGTAATGTGTGTGTGAATGGGTTTCTATGGTTTTTACATTTGTCCAAAAGCTCCTTTGATGCTGCATTTTCTGCAGTATTGACCCATACCCTAAATACGTCCCATACATTTTATCCATCTTAGCATTTGTGTGGCATTTGTCCAAAACTCAGTGCTTGTGCACGGGCATGTGTGTCCTGCAGACTGAGCTGCGTTTAACTAATGTAGAAGGCACATGCAAATTTCCAATTTTACTCTCTGTGTGTGAGAGTGTATGTCGGCTGAGGACTGTGCCAGAGGAGGAAGAGGTGGATTATTTAAATGAGAAGCTGGATCACGATTACTGGATCATTGCATAACAAACAGCTGTAGGCCTGTATGCAGGAGTGTGTGTGTGTGTGTGTGTGTGTGTGTGCGTGCGTGCATGCCTGTGTGTGTGTGTGTGTGTGTGTGTTTGTGCTGGAACTACTCTCACAGCACAGTGGTCAATGTCATCTGCAGACAGGAGCAGCTTGTTTCCTCTTGTGTTGATGGGACTCCATGTCTCTTCACCGGGGCTGCTGGTTTTTCCATTATTTACTGCGAGGGATCTGGGGGGGAATTCTCAGGGGACCCGTGGGTCTCTGAAGTTGCAGATGAAACACACGCAGAGACGTAGACACCCAGCTCAGCACCAAGGCCTCGTAGTACACCATCACTTCACCTAATGAGTGAAAACCATCTTTCTCCCATTTTTTGTGCTCTCAATATCTCAATGTGTGTGTGTGTGTATAAGTGTGTATTCTGCTCATAAGTTGAATGTCAGCAGGAGTCCTGATTGGTCTCTCTGGGACTCCACCTCCAGTGAGGGGAGCATCGCAGAACAGAGGAGGAGTTGAGAGGAGCAGAGGAGTGCAGAGGGGGAAACATGCATAAAAGAAAAAACAGTTGTTGATATAAATCCTACAGCACACAACGCCTTCCCTGCTCTGTGTGTCTGTGCCTGTTGCTCTCCCCTGTTTCTCTGCTTGGAACCTGAGTTGTGCTTGTGCTTTCTAAAGAGCGTACCCTGCGGCAACTATTTGTCAGTCTTTGACGGGAATCATTGTAACACCACTGGTTCCAAATTCAAATTAGTTTTGCTGGTGAGGAGAAAAAATTACAATAAAGGAATCATTGTAATAGAAACTGGAGGCAGAAAATCAGAAGACAGCAGTGGTGTCCACCAGTTGATCATGCAGCAGAGCGGGGCAGTTGGTTTGTTTAGCGGCCCTTCCTGCTCCTGCAGTTACTGCTCTGTGTCCTTGAATGCAACCTTACATCCCAACATCCGCATTGATTTTAAGTCCACCTGGATAAGACCAGTAGTTTAACACTTAATTTCTACTTTTGCTTCTGACAGGCTGCACGTGCAGGTGAAGGTGAGGTGAGGCCTTCACTTGCATTTTGAGAGCATTTTTCTCCCTGATGTCATTGGCTTCTGCTTCCTGTCTGCAGCTGACTGGAGATCAGATCTGCCCTCCACTATTGCTGCTGTCAGTGTGTGTCAGCATGTTTCTGTGTCAGGATGTGTTGGTGTTTTTTGTGCAAATGTTAGTAGGTGCATGTGTAACCATGCGTTATGTCTTTCACCCATCTTACTTCTTACTGTTTGCATTTATCTGCATGTTTATCTTATGCCATATAGAGCCCAGCTTTACAGATATATTACATGGAGTCTTCTAAGGGTCAGCCACGAGAGTGTTTGTGTCGTTGCATTGTTGTCAGCATTGTCATTGCACGTGTAAATGTCTTTGATGGGAGGGTGAGACAGGAGCCTCTCCTCTGCTCATTTCTCTCCCTCTCTACAGCTGAGTCTCCTATCTGCCCCACTTAGCCCATGGAGCGAACAGTAATCAGCCATTCTCAGGAGAGAGAAAAAGGCAGAGAGATAGAAAGAGAAGGAGAGTGATTCAAGCTCAGTCGTTGTCTTTGATGGAGCCCTCGGAGGTGTCTACAGGAAGGAGCTGGAGGCTAACATTGGATTGCACCAGTGAAAAAGGGAAGGAGGCAGATATAGAGACACTTGGGAATAAAGAAAAAAACAGAGAAAGAGTGGCCAGGAGGGAACGGAAGGAGGAGGGGGGTTCGGCACACAGTGAGTGAGACAGGTATACAGGGAGAGACGGAAACAGAGATGAGAGATATTTGAAACGGGTGCATTTAGGGTAGCTGTCTACTCAGTTCATCTATCTTGCTGGCAGACAAGTAGGTCGGACAGCGCAGGGACAGGCTTGGCATCCTGTGGTGCAGCCGAAGGTGAACACGATGCACTGGCAACGTTTTGAGTCCAAACCGAGTTGATCTTGTTGCACGTCAACCCTCCTCCTTTTCCTTCTCCCCACTTTCCTTACTCCCTGATACTGGCCAATGAAACGCACTGCGTTTAGAGTACTCTTACAAAATAGGGACGAGCAGGGAGATGATGTGAGGGAGGACGGGGCAGGCAGAGAGGGAACACGGGCCGACAGCAGGAGGCATGTACTGTTAAAATATTCACCTGTTCTCTTTGTAACCATTGTTGGAGGCGGTAAACTGTTATGCGTGCGTCTTGTACATAGACAGATGGATGGACCTGCTGAGTGTGTGTGTGTGTGTGTGTGTGTGTGTGTGTGTGTGTGTGTGTGTGTGTGTGTGCTCAGGCCTCTTCCTCGCTGCATGACCAAAACAAACTGAGCAGGCCCCATAAATGCAATTCAGCTTTAATACTGAAGGTGAACTGGTGTTAACTTTTCTAGTTCAGTGATTTTACTCTTTTGCCAAAAGTTGTTCTCCGATCTCCCTCCATTAAACTATACTTTTCACTTCACATGTTGAAAAAATATGTTGTATTTCCTCATGTTAAGTTTGACATTTAAATCAAAGCTATGTTTGGAGAGAGAGAATAGGGCAGTGGCAGATCTAGGATCTAAATCAGGGGCCAAACAGATTTAGATCCTACATTTATACATGGGGGCAATTATATGTCCAACACCCATGTAGAAGTCCTCCTTCAGTCAGAGGCCCATGCCCCCCTGTCCCCTCCCCTCCCCTGGGTTCACTCCTTGCGGGAAGACACGCAGCAGACGACCGGAGACTCTGAACAGTTTTTGAATTTTGTTTCATCACATCTTTGGGGGTTTTCATTCCTATCCCGTAGAATTAGATTTAAATTGTTTCTCATTTTGAAGCATTAGATATTTTGGGATATTTGCTTTTTTTCCAAGAGTTATTTATTTTTGTTCTGAGGCCAAAATCAATTTTTTCTCCTACCCTAAGATGTTTCCTATCAATTATTGATACAGTAACTGTCTCAGAGAGTTGGTTCTCCATTTGGTTGCATGTTACAGCCTATGGCTATATGCTGTTTTACATTGTTGGATTTGATGTCTGACACATGTGTATGACTCAATATTGTGCTTCTAATGAACTCATATTCATAATCTTGTTAGTGTGCAGAGATTAAACCTTGATGTAATTTTCCAGGTGGGCATTACATAACACAAATCCACAACACACATGAGGGTGAACTACGACACATTACTACTGCACATATTAATGAGACTTGAATTCTTTTGCCCAGAGAAGATTCCACCTTGAAGACGAGACAAGAATAACGAGATGCATCAACTCTGAAATGGACTTTTAAATAATATATGATTTCTTTTTGCAAGCGGCAAGTAGTTTAAATGAAGAAAATAGAGTCATTGAGTTAGAGTCATCTCATGCATGAGAAATGTTTTGTGTATGACCACAGAGATTACAGATCAAATGCATGAATAGATAATGTTGAGTTATATACTTGTAGGGGGAAACACACAACTCTGCATCTGTGTGTTTTTAAAAATAAACATACAGTACATGTATGTTGATAGCATGTTTGAAGACTCAGTGCTGAATGTAAGACGGACATTTCCCTGCTTTATCAGATGCAGAGGGAAAAAAACATACCAAACAGTAAGAATTGCTGTTTCTGAAGATTTAAAAAAAAAAAAGGATTTCATATATAGTGACAATTTGAGTGCATAAAGGCAGCAGGTATTCTGTGCCTTGGTCCCCCACCTGTGCTCTCCAAGCTCAGACGCTGAGGTTGTAAACCACGGCACAAGTGCTGCTAAAAGGAGAACAAATTATTCATGTGTGTGCCGTGTGTTTGTGAGTGTGTAAGTGGTGACAGTGGTGGAGTACCAGTTACAACAGATGGACGAGTATTACGTACGTAGAAACCTTAGAGTGTTGATTGGTGGAATCTGAACAAAAGTCAATGTTATTTTAAGCGTGTGGAAGTTGCAGTGAAAAGAAGCCTGGACTGTCAGTTTGAGTCCTGTGCCGACTCTGACCGCCTGTCACTGTAAGTCTGTGTCTCGAGCAATATGCTCCCAGGTCAGAAGACTTACTGTACCATGGCCAAGAAATTCAATGTCAACAGAGTGCTTTCAGCTTATTTTTGTAGTATCTTATGTGACCCATTCACTCGGACACAATTCAGACCAGGCAACATCCATAATAAAGTTTTCGTTTAAAAAGGCATCAACTCGGCTATGGATCCGCCTGTCAGAGCTGCATTTTAGTTTTGACAGGCAGAGTTGGAAGATGTTTGGAAACAATGATGTAGACCCTCACAACCGCTTGCTTTTCGACGTAGCCTTCGCTGATTAGCCAGGCTCCTGTCACATGACCCCCTCTGGAAGAAAACAACTGGCATCAGCCTCGGCTACCAGTGTGGAACTCAAAATGGATAATCAATTACACATATTTATGACCCTGTTGTCCAAAATCTGTTGTGCAGTTATATTCTGCATTTTACAATGACACAAAAGCTATTATTCTGGAAGTGTATCAATTCCTGTTTCTAGAATGCCTTCCTGTTTACACTGGCACGCACATGCCCAGTGTACGTGTGTTTGCGAGTATGGACGAGGATTAAAACAGATAGGAGGAGCCAAAATGCTCATGGACAGAGATCGTTTGCATTTTCAAATAAAGTATGAAGCCTAAGACACTGATGATTCTTCTTAATTCGCGGTCTTCATGAGTGGAGAGTATCCAGCATCCAAAAATTAGGGCTTACATGCTAAATGCTTAATTTTTTGTTGATATCTTCACTCTAAATTGCTCCGCCCAAGCGCAGCAGCAAAATCCCTAAAATATGAATGTAAATGTAAAATGCATGAGAGAGAAACGAGAGAGGCGAACTTAAGAAGAGAAAGAGACAGAAACAGATATGGAGAATACCAATCTGTCCAGATATGGGGGTTTTAGGGAATACTGCTTAATCACCGCAGATCTGATGAACTGAAAGTGAGGCAGGTGCAAATAAGCCCATCCCGACACTGAAACGTGGAAGTGCTTTCATATACAGTATATCGAAGCTTTCTCAGCTCTGAATTGACCTACATAGGGTATGTGGGATCAGTGCCACATTGTAAACAGAACACATGGAAATAATCCAGAGGAATCTAATGAGATGTCTTTACTGGATCTTTTGGGACGTTGGACTGTGAGCATAAGGGGGAATATGGAAACAAGGCAAAGGGCTAGCAACAGCCAATAACATCCGAATGACAGGCTGTCCTTCCAACTCTGCCTCCTCTCTGCTTACCTCTCCTCCTCCTCTCTTGTCTCTCTCTTCTACAGGAGCGAGATTGTGCTGCATCAGTTTTGCTGCCCCGCCCCTGAACATCCAGAGGCTGACACCACTGGCTCATCTGGGTAAGACGCACTCAACAACCAATCACAGACACTTCTCACATTTTTCATCACCACCATTATGTTGTCACCACTGTCTGTTTGTTGATTTGTTTGTAAGCAAGATTACGCAGAAACCACTGCACGGATTACCACAAAACTCATTTTGGTGCAGAACTGGTGTTTGTAATTGGGTTACAGCCGTTACAGCCTGTGGCTTTGATGTTTTACATTGTTGAATTTGACATCTGACAAACTGAAATATTGTACTTCTAATGAACTCAGTGTTGATAAAATTATTGTTAGGGGTCAGAGATTCAAATTTGACCTTTGTGTGCATGAGAGAACACAAATCCACAGCACAACACACAAGACGAGAACTATCCTACACACATTACTGCACAGATTAAGAAGTCTTGATTAAGTTTGCACGGAGAGGATTCCACGCTGAAGTTTTCACCCCTCTCTGTTTACTTGTTGGTTGGTTTGTGTGTTTGTTTGTAAGCAAGATTACGCAAACACTACTTAATAGATTACCACGAAGGTTGGTGGGGATCCAGATCAGGGGATGGATCCATGATTTTTTAAATATCTTTCTATAACATTGCAAGAGAGGGCTTTTATTTGACTTTTTCAGGGAACAATTCATGGATCTTGTTAAAAAAGAAAATAGTGGAGTTTAGCTGAATTTAAGGGGACTGTATCAATATGTGCTCCATTTAGTGCCATTCTAGTTTTCTGGAGGTTTTTACTCTTACTTCTCTTCGACTGTTCCTTGAGCCAATGGAAACATTCCATCTCCTCTGTATATATTTGTACACGTGTGTCATCTGACTGAGTCATGTTCGCACCCATGGCTTTTCTCCATGCTCTTTATCGTGTGTGCTCAGTACACAGCTTGTGGAGTGTTGTGAATTGGTGTATTTATGGACTCGCGGAGCCCGGAGTCACAGTGAGGGAGTTAAATTCTCCGTAACAGACCTATAGCTCTTACAGCCCCAAGGGTAACGCACATATAGAGCGAGAGACAGAGATGGGGTGGGGGGTTGGAGGGGTGGGGAGGGTAAGTGCATGAACTGGGACCGCCACTGTAAAAGTGCCCATGGCAACCCGGCACTACTGAAGCAACGGTTATTACTACCATAGTAACCGGAGAATTGAAGTATTGACTCTATAAATCCACTGTAGCCACTTTTGCCATCTGTTTCAGCGTGGGCAAGGTTGTCTGTTTGTTTGTTGTGCGAGTTTGCTCATGCTTTTTTACCTCTGTGTGTGTGTGTGTGTGTGTGTGTGTGTGTGTGTGTGTGTATGGGGGTGTGTGAATGCATGACGTTTCACTCTGGAGTTGTTTGAATGAGCAGGGCTCTGTTTTCAACTTTGTAAAGCTGATTTGTCGTGTTTCTCTCTGATAACCGTTTGCATCCTCAGAATATCCCACCATCTTTTAATCCTCTGTGTCCAGTCTTTCTCAGTCTTGCTGCTTTTTCTCTCTTTTTTCATCTTCTGTAATATCTTCCCATATTTTTGTACGTCCTTCCCCCTTTCTTTCTGTATGCATCTCTACCCGGTATTTATCTGTTGTAGGTCTTTTCTAATCACCTCACCGCAATTATTTCTATCTCATCACTCCCTGTCAAGTCTCCCTCTGTCATACTGCATTTATTAATATCCCCATCTGTCTGTCTGGACTCTCTTTCTCTCTCTCTCTCTCTCTCTCTCTCTGTCTCTCTCTGTCTCTTCTCTCTGATCTGATGACTTCGCTCCCTACACCCACATATAGTCCCAATTGGATGGGCTAATGGCACAGTGGCATTGGACAGCCAACTGAGATGATGAGAAGTAGAGGCGCTAAGGCTCATTATTATCGTCCTATATGAAGTTGTGTGTTCCTGTCTGGCGGTTGCAAACCCGCACCACCGCTACACAATGAACTGTGCCCTACTGAATCGAACCATCCCAGAGATGTCGGGAGATCTAGCCTGTAACTCGCCTTTTCTTGCCTCATCCCTTGTGTGAGTGTGTGTGTGTGTGGCGGTACAGTACTGTGGGCCTCTGTGGGACCTTGAGAGATCCGACTTGACAGATATTAATTTCTCCTCCATCGTGACGTCACTCGTGTAGGCGGAGCAGGAGTATGTGCATGGTGTGTTTGGTATGTGAGCATGCATGTGTGTGTGTATTAGAAACAGAGGGAGATAGACCGAGAGAGTATAGCGCCTACATCATTAAAGAGGCTTTTGCTGTCCAGATGCATTAATACCTCAACTCTTGCTTTTAAATCCTCTGATGTATTCTAATGTACTCTAATGTATTCTGATGCAGCGCTGGGGCATGGCAGTGTTTTAATAGAGTTTCTGATAGAGTCTGCCTCCAGCGTGTGCTCACCAACACACTCTCGCTATATACTCCCCATTTCCCCTCTCTATGTTTCTATCTCGGCCTTTTCCTCTGCTTCCACTCTCTTTTCATTTTCTCCAGCTTTATCTCATTTAAAGATACGACCAAGCTTCTCTGGCTCTGTCTCTGACTTGTGGCTGGGGGGACGGAGGATAGTTGCCTTCACAGCAATCAGAGAAAACAAAGAGGAACTTTAGTGATGCTCTCATTATTTAACCATGAGCAGGCTTTTTATTCTCCCCCAGTCTTGTTTGGTCCCCTTCGTGTAAAAATTACCGGAGTAAGCATTATCTGGGCGGAGGAAAGATTGCACGAGCACAAACCATCATGCACGCACACATACACAAACACCCATAATCGCACACCATTATAAAACCTCTTAGGGTGTGATTATACCTCTATGCTTGTACCACATCATACCTATAAGCTTGACTTGGCGATAATAAAAGATGCTGAAGTTCGACCAAAAGTGGAAAACGTGGAGATGCAGTAAAAGATCACTTTCTGCTGTGTCATTGCAATTATTTGCTTACATGGTTTTCACAGAATTTCTCTATTGCTACCCTGTGAAAGAACATTGTTCCATCTGTGGACAGGACCTGGGATTATAAGGGGAGGCTGGGGCAGTGAGCACTGGGAGACAGCATCCTCCACAGGCAACTAAAAGAAGATTCAGGCCAGATTTGAATATATTTTGTTTTGACTTTGCTACTTCGTTATTACTGGAATAATTGATTATTATCTGTGGAGTCAGACCTTGTTATCCCTCTATGTTTTCTACCGGTCACATTCGACTTAGAGCATATGGCGGTCTGTCTATTATTGTCTTGCATTGCTTCCAGTGTTTTTGAACTCTTATATAACGTCACAGACTTATCATCCTCTTACACTGTAATCCAAGCAGCAGAACATGAAAGATAGTCATTTTTATTTCTACGAAGCAGACTCAGACAGTTATACTTTTCATCACGATTGCCACTGTAATCCACATCATGTCATTGCCATGGAAACACATCCACTCTTTGGAGGTTCGTGCACAAATTCTAGTGCCGATTTCTGTGGAGCAAAACATCTGGCGGGACATCGTTGTTGTGCCAAATGACCACACAAGAGCACAGATCTAAAGGTGGTTGAATATTCTTTCAACTCAAGCATTTGATCCAAAATCCCTTTCTGTTTGCCACCTACCTGTACGTTCTCCTGAGTATCAGAGTGTGTTATCCAGCACAGTAATTGCTTTAGTCTGGGAGCAGATTGTTTCCTAATGATGCAGATTGCAACCACTTGAGTGATGAGTGTGTTTGTTGGTTTATATGATGCTTGCTGTGGTCCGTGTCTATCAAAGACCTCATTCATATGAACGTATCGACTCTTAACTAATGAAAAGAGTGGTGAAGCATAATCTGTGCACATGCTATACCCTAATCAGGTCATACTTACTTTACACTGTAATGATGCCACTTCATAATGATGTCATCATTTATGCCATATGATGACAGATGATTGGTTTCTTTGAATAAGTTGTAGATCGTGTCCCAATAATCGTATTGTTTTTTGTGGTTACATAATTCTTGCCATGTGATCATTAATCATTTTTCAATCTATAAAAGCTTTAGGTTGTGTCTACGGTCATAATACAACACAGAGATGATATTTATATTACATTTATTTATTTATATATAATATAAGTTTTAGATTGCCTCTATTATTTGTGCAGACCTCTTGGCTAAAAGTGTTGACCTTTGACCGATCAGATCCAAAGGTTAATCATCATCTCCCTCCCGCACACACACACACACACACACACGCCTTATGGTAGCAAAATGGGGATCATTTATCAATTCAGTAATCTTCATTTAAAGTGGAGATGAGATGATGAACTAATCAATAATCAACTCAGTTGTTCACCCAGGTGGAAAATAAGAATTCTGCTATAATATTTATATGTTTCAGATGCTTCCCCAATAATTGCTTCTTTGTTATTAAATGCTAATTAGTTTTATATCTCAGGCTTCCAAATGAAACAATAACTCTTTGACTGAACCACTCAAAATCTATAAACCCGAAACACAATATTGCTTTGTATTAAGGAGCCAGAAGAAAAAGGTAGGGAACCAATAGATCACTTGATTATTAGAAAATTAATCAAGAAAGATTCGGATCTTTGAATTATCATTTAGTCTTTTGTAAATATAAAGAAGCTAAATATTCACTGTTTGTGCTTCTGGCAGTTTTATATCATTGTAATGAAATTGTATAATCAAAACAAGTCTCTGATTCATCATCTTGAGTTGTGACAAAATGTGTTTTAACACCATTTAATTATTGACATTTTTCAACAGATTTACAAACATTGAAAATGTTGTTGTCTGAAGTGTCAACTTCGTCAAAAATATTTTCATCCTGGACACATATCCTGAGTTTCAGCCCTGCGACTTGTCACCGGACACATACAGTCCCTCGACCCCCACTCCCCCACTGCAGCCACACATCTGCTTCTTCCTTCATGAACCTCCTCACACTCTGCACAGTTGATGACCTGCCACTGAGATAATGACAGAGCTTTGAAGGTCAGCGGCGATGACTGATAGCTTTCTCCTCCTATAGCCATGGTAGTGGACAGATGCTGAGCCTGGAGGACGGAACATCCTCCGGTGGCGGACAGGAAGTGGAGGGAACCAAGAGGGAGGGACCCAGCGAGTATGAGATCACCCTGGAGAATAAAAACAAACAGGTATGTGTTTTTTATTTTTTAAGTGCATGTGATGGATGATCACCTGACAATGTTTCTTGCCTGACAAAAGACATTTCCATTCAGTTCTATTTCCGTCTCTGTTGACATGACAAAAAGCACCAGCGACTCCAGTGCCACGGCGACAGGAACACAAAATGCTAGGTTGTCATGGCAACAGCTAATAACTGCTCCTGGCGGCTGGAGATTGGAGAGTCCTTATTTCTTGTAGCAAACTGCTGAAGGGTCCGTCGCCGCCACTGCCTTCGTTGCTGCAGTGTGCTCACACAAGCGTGTATCTGTGTGTGTCCGTGCGCTTTCTGTGGGTGTGTTTTTGCGTTTGCAGACACACACACACACACACACACACACA